GAGCCCAGGAGTTTGAGGTTACTGTGAGCTAGGCTGACGCCACGGCTCTCTAGCCCAGGCAACACAGTGAGACTCTGTCTCAAAAAAAAAAAAAAGAATGCTGGAATTAAGCCAGCGGTAATAATGTCTAAATGAGAAGTATTGGATTTCAGTGTTTCATGTACCTTTTTTTTAAAGAAAACAACAGAATTTATTTCAAGTATAAGATGAAATATACTGCCAATGTAAATTATTCACATTTTTCCTGAGATTTTAACAGGTTTCAGAAATCTTTCTTAGTGAAGAAAGATCTTCTTAAAAATCACAGTTGAAGGGAACAAGAGATAAGCACTGTCCTCAGTGGTCAGCAACATACTCAGATCTGTCCAGAGTCGCACCAGGTCCCTTTGCCAAGGGCCAAGTGCAGAAGAAAAAGGACTGTCTCAAAGGAGAATTGCACTTGTGTGAACAGGACAAGCACTGCTCTGCCAGGAGACAGTGCAAATAGATTTTCTAGAGCCCCCATCCTCTCTAGGATGCCTCCATTCATGTTTTAAGTGATCTTTACACTGTAAAATTCAAGTCCTTTCTTTCTATAATGGATGCTCAACAGTATTTAGAAGGGACCAAAAGAAAAGAAAGAAAGAAAGAGAAGTATTGGGGGGTCGACATAGTGGGTATATGGTTTTACTTGAAGCCACAGATCTTTTGAGTGAATGGCCTAGAACCTGAGCCTTAAAATAACTTGGCAATTATATGGTTGGGCTTGCAAGACCATGTACACAAGTCGAGAGCTGGGGCTGTAAGACAGGGCTCAGATAAGGTAAACTGAGAACAGCTGGGGCACAGATAATAAGTCATAAGACTGGGGAGATATTATCACATATTAGATATTATTTCTGTTTTTGCACAATTTCAAATTTATCATTTTAGATAGCATATGTTGATTATTACAAATAAAGTGTTAAATTTTCTAGCCCACTGACTTCATAATCCATAAGCTTCTGCATACCCCTTTGTACACTGTCTTCAACCACAATTAAACCCAAAACATCTTGTTTATTTAATATTTTGGATGACAAACACAATGGCTTCAAATCTCTTATACATCTTCTGAAGGGATAATTTCATTTAACCAAAAAAAGGACCACCTCATTAAACACTGCAAAAAAAAAAAAAAATATTAGCCATCCCTTCTATATTGTTTACATCATCTGAAAGTATGCAGTAAATGCTTGTTAAATGAATGAAGAAATGAGTATGGGATTTACTCTAGCTATTACGAATCACGGAATACACTGAGATACCCAAAGAAATAAGTAACACATATGGCATTCTATTTAGTTTCTGCAAGCTGACTGTATATACATAAACCACACATCAGATTTTCATAACTGAGTCCCAGTAACATTCAGTTTATGACTGTACAAACATATTTGATGTTGGAATGCCAGAATTCTGTAACTAAAAATATTTGACTAGAGAAAAAACTCATTTCATATATTAATGTGTTTAACAAAATTTTCTTATGCACATTCAAGGAAACAATTTATACCATATAATCAAGAATTAATATCAAACACAAACTGAAATAACAAAATATGAATATCCTACCTGAACATCTTTGTATTTGTCTCTTAAGTCCAAGAGCCGGTGATAAGCTTTAATGGCTTCTGAAAATTCCCCAACGTCAGTGCTGGTAAGGATATAGTTTTCCCAAATTTGCCAGTGTTCATAGTTACACTTGAGAGCTTCTTGTAAAGTTCTAAAAGCTTTTACTCTATTGAAGGTCAAATTTTAAAGAGAGCAATAGTGAACACTTTTTATCAAGCTAAACCACAGCTAAATGTATAAAATGCTAATATGGACTGTCAGTCCTTAATCATTCATGTTAATAAATAGAATTAGAGACCAAAACAACCCAAAGCATCTCAAATTTCCCTACAAAATTCAATGACAGACCCTGTGGTATATATAGCATACATACAGAGAGATTCCTTCCTTAATCTATTTACTGGTGACAAGGACATTATTTTCTAACTGGGTATCGATCCCAGTATCATCCCAGGAGAAGGCTCACTCAAGTTCCAGACTTGGAGTCAGAGTGACCAAGCAAGTTCAAGTGTAAACCTGCAAGCAAAAAGTAGTAAGCATGGCAGTAGTGAAGGGACCAGAGGTGAGGAGGTCAAAACAAAACAACAAACTCCTCATATTATTCTAAATGATTCTACAAACCAAAATTCTACATACTGTGGGGAAAAAAAATCTATACTAGGAAGGACTGTCAACAAAATTAACCAACAGGACATGAATTTACTAAAAATAAAATTAATTTTAAGGAATGATCTATCAAAATATTTAAATAAATACATTTGTTTAGAATACTAAAAGAGACAAAGAAATAATTTTCATTTAAAAGCAGAAAATTGGGAAATAACAACGGGTAAAAATGAAATAAGAACAAGGAGATGTGAATAAAAACCAACTGGAAATTTTAGAATTGAAAGAGACATTAAAACAACAACAATAAAAACCTCAACAGGTGACAAAAACTAGACTGCATATAGTCAAAGAGAAACTGGTGAACTGGAAGAAAACAGTGAGGCGTTCACATAGAATTCAGATTAAAAAATATAAGAGGCATAAAGAGACAGAGGCTCAAATATACATCTGATAGACATTCCAGAGTAAACAAATGCAGAGCATGGCAGGATGCTATATATTGAAAAGACAATAGTGGAGTATTTTCTAGAATTGAACAAAGATCTAAATTCTATGATCAAAAGTATATTTCACATATTGAGCATTATAAAAAAAGATAAACCAACACCTAGACATATTGTGTGAAATTTAGGAAAGATATTCCTAAAGCCTACAAAGGAATGACAATTAGAAAATAGATATTTCATCAGCAATAAGATGACAGAAGACAATATAATACTACTTTTAAGGTGACGAGTGATAATAATTGTCAGTCTAAAATTCTATAACCAGCTAAAGTTACCTCTCAAGAGTACATGCAAAATGAAACATTTTTAGATGTACAAATGCTAAGAGAGTTTAACTTACCCTAATTAAAAGAACTACCTAAAGGATTGCTTCTTGCAAAAATAAAGTGGAATTCAAAAAGAAAGGAAACATGTCCTCAAATTCAGCCATAAATTGTTTCTATAAGATTTTTTTCTTTTTTTCCTTACCCTACACCATCCTACATAATAGCAACTGCCTTCGACAGTTGTGGACTGAGACTCCCCAGTTCTCCCATCCATAGGAGGGATGGCGATGAAGTTATCCTATTGCAAAAGAACTGAACAAGCAGCAATCCATACTCTGAGAATTGTCCTTTTTCCTATGTGTCCTCCCATTTTCTAATCACAATTTCCTGGCCTCAAAATTATTCAGTGAATTCTTTTTTGGTAAACATAGCTTCTTTATAAGGTGCTTCATTCAGGATTCACTTATCAAACCCACCATGGTAGAGATTTTGCACTATGAAAGTCAAATCTGAAGACAGGAAATTTTCCCAAGGGGACTGGTGGGGACATGATATCTAGGAGAATCAGATCAAACAGTGAAAAAAGCACTTTAGTGAAGACCCTTGTAATGACAAAGGTATAAACACAGTTTAATGGGCCATTTTAAGGTATGAATAGGATGCTTTTGATAGGAGCAGTAATAATTTACCTCTGAAGTAACAATTTCATTAGCCATGTCTGGAGCAGTAGCAAAGAAAGGAAAGAGTAAAAAGGCAAGAATAAAGGAATGATTTAACTCTGACTTTACAACCCACTTTTACACAAAAACCTATTCATGGAGCTGCAGGAAGGCAAGACACCATCAAAAAGAGGTTGAGAAACGATATGCAAGAACGTCTAAGAGAGAAAGCAGCATTCCTAACATTACTGGGCCAGAAGACAAGGTAGAGTATCAAAAGTCTCACTACATACAAACTTATCTGGGTTACCAGAAAAACTCACTGAGATCATTCCAGAACTATGACAGGGATTTCCCCAGCCCACTGCTTTAAACCAGAAAGGTCTCCAGTGAGTTTTAACACAATCAGTTGCAATCAAGAACATAATATTATCTTCCGAAGAGAATGGTAGAACAAACAGTACTTTATTTATGTAGTCTGTCATCAAAGAGCAGAGGAAGCATTTCATGATCTCAACATAATATGGATTTAATGATGTCTTCAGAACTATCTTGTGATTCCACAAAGAAAAATTAAATTAAGTTTGAAAATAAGGCCAAATAAAAATGGAAATATATCCTTCCTTTAATTAATTTATTAAAACTCTGGCAACAGCAGTCCTTGTCTCTTCCCTTTACTTTGCTTTTCGTAGCCAGTGAATAGGCCCAGTTGGTTGTCCCCTTTATAAATGGTGTGGCATCTGCCCCTTCTTTTTCTACTCCAGTTATCTCATGCCTGCATTGTTACAACAGCTGTCTCCTAACTGGTTTCCCAGCCTCCAGTTTCCTCTCTAGTCTGTCTCACACTGCCACCAGATAAATCTTCCTAAAAAGCTTCTTTCTTCATGAAACTACCCCACCCAAATCTCTGGCTTCCTGTTATCAACAGGATAGTCTCAACTTGTTCGCTGGATAATCAAAGACACTGCAATCTGACCCCAGCCTACCTTTCCAACCTCACCTCTCACTGTAGCTCCTGTATTACCGTGTAGCTGGACTATTTTGCTTCCTATTTCCTAAAATACTGCATTCGTTCCTGTCACTCTGCCTTTGGTCACATTATTTCCCTTGCCTGAAAAGCTTTCTTCTGTCCCCTTCTATCCATTCTTCAAATTTCCACTTGAGTCCAACATTCTCTCAGAAGCATTTCTAAACCAGGATCATATACTTTCTTTCTTCTGAGATCTTCAGAGGACTAAATGAGTGTCCAGCACACAGTAAGTACTCTACAAATACACCTACTATTCCCATAGCCTTCTTTGTATTCTCACTTGATATTTACCACACATAGCTTATATTATTAATCAATTTTTTTAATAATATGGTGCATTTTCTTTTTTAAACCCATATTTCCTAAAGACACTGGTTCATATTTATTTATAGTTCTCAATAATGTCTAGCACAGAGCAAGCAATCCATAAAAAAATCCATCAATTGAGTTGACCAACTAACGCACATTTGCTTTCATCATGTAACGAAATTTGGGATGTAAAACTTCAGTATCAAATAAAGATTTCAAGTAACATTTCTTATTTTAAACGT